AGCACCTTTAAGCACTTTTTAACACTAAACATATCATAACCGGTCAAATGACAGAACTTTTCCATTGAAAATGCACTTATCATTTATGCACACTTGATTTCATGACTTTTTCTAACAATTATGTACAGTCAATATTCTATTCTGTTTGTTTCAAATAATACTTGTCATATACCTATTTCTACCACGATTGGCCGGGTTAGATCAATCTAATCAGAATAACTGTGAATTTCAAGAAAGTACCTAAAATTTTAGAATGGTATTTTTGCATAAGAAAAGTGACAAAAACTAAATGTTTTGGTAAGTAGCTCATTTTGATAGCTTTACTTCATTTCTAACTAACTGTTAGTTTTTACCCAGAAAAATGTCAAAACAATCAAGACAGTTCTTAGAAGAAATAATATTATTTATAAGAATTATAGAAATAATAATAAATATGTTTGAGGAAAATGTATAATGGAAACACCCTGTATATGTAAAAAATGCGTTGAATTAAAAATTCTTATCCTTTGTGTGTTGCAATACATAAAAACTATACAATTTTGTTGAATTACAATAAAGTGTTCACTTCCTTCCTAACATTCATATTTCACACATTCTATCAAGAAACATAAAGTCCAGTCATTTGATTGGCTATGATAGATATACTATATTAAGTGCTGGTATGTTAAAAATGATACTCGCACCATGTATTATATTAAAAATTGATACTTTATTAAGTTTTGATTTTAACTTACTTGAGGCATTTGATGAATCTTGAAAACAAATATGATACACGACTTCTTACATGAGGATCTTTATTTTTAAGCCCTCTGTTATCCAAAAAAGCAAACTGAAATATTAAATAAGCATTATCTATATATATATATATATATATATATATATAATTTAAAAAAGAGATAATTTAAAATTATAAGAATTAACAACGCAAAGGTATAATCTCGTCATGAGCTCGCACAATTATATCCGCAAATAAAGTGCTTTCTAATATTCTTGCAAAATATAAATATATCAATATAATAGAGCGAGGAGAACCAATATATATATCACAAATTAATAAATTATACAAATCTTCTATTACTTTGTCTAGCTGTTAATAAATTATTAATAATTTGGTTTGTACTTTTAACGCATTTATTATTATTTAAAATAAATATTGTTGATAATATATAGCGTAATACTAACGAATAAAAAGATATATGAAGTAATTTAATTAATTTATTTAATTAATGATATTGTTAATCAAGGAATACACTGATATAGTTGACAGTACAGTTGTACTAGATATATTTTTAAATTCAGACATTAGGTACAAAATATCTTGATAGTATGAAAAAAATAATTAAACTAGAGAGACAATTAGCAATATTTAATCAAATCGGCTTCTTAACTATTACAACTATAATACCGTCTTAATCTGTTACAACTACAATACCGTCATAATCTATTACAACTATAATACCATTAATGATATTGTCAGTCGGTGAATACATCGATTAACAATATTAACTCTATTATAATTGAGATAAATTTTTTAAATTCAGTCATAAGGTAGAAAACGTTGATAAAGCGAAGAAAAGGGTTCAACTAGAGAGGAAATATGCAACGTTTCATCAAATCGGCTCAATATTATCTGATCTATTACAACAATAATACCGTCTTAATTAATTACTACTCTAATATCGTTAATGATATTTATAATCAGTGAATACACCGATATCATTAACGGTATTATAGTTGTAATAGATTTTTTTTTAAATTTTGGCTAAAGGCCAAAATCCTTGATAATGTAAATAAACTGATACAACTAGATTTGGACAACTAGATGAGGACAATTTGCAACGTTTCATCAAATCAGCTTCATATTATCAAATCTATTACAACTATAATACCGTCTTAATCTATTAAAACTATAATACAGTTAGTGTTATTGTTAATCTGTTAATGCACCGATGTCATTAACGGCCTTATAGTTGTAATAGATTTATTTTTAAATTCAAGCATAGTGGCAAGAAACCTAAATAATATAAAAAAAACTGATGCAACTAGAAAAATAACAGGCAAAGATGCATCAAATCGGCTTTATATTATCTAATATATTGCAACTATAATAACAATAATAATACTGTTAATCAATGAATACACCGATATCATTAACGGTATTATAATTGAAATAGATTTTTTTTTAAATTCGGGAATAAGGTAGGAAAACCTTGATAATATGAAGAAAATGATTCAACTAGAGAGACATTACGCAGCGTTTCATGAAATCGGTTTCATATTATCTAATCTATTGCATCTATAATACCGTCTTAATCTATAGCAAATATAACACCATTAATGATATTGTTAATCAATGAATACACCGATATCATTAACGGTATCATAATTGAAATAGATTTTTTTTAAAATTCGGGCATAAGGTAGGAAAACCTTGATAATATGAAGAAAATGATTCAACTAGAGAGACATTACGCAGCGCTTCATGAAATCGGTTTCATATTATCTAATCTATTGCATCTATAATACCGTCTTAATCTATAGCAAATATAACACCATTAATGATATTGTTAATCAATGAATACACCGATATCATTAACGGTATTATAATTGAAATAGATTTTTTTTAAAATTCAGGCATAAGGTAGGAAAACCTTGATAATATGAAGAAAATGATTCAACTAGAGAGACATTAAGCAGCGTTTCATGAAATCGGTTTCATATTATCTAATCTATTGCATCTATAATACCGTCTTAATCTATAGCAAATATAACACCATTAATGATATTGTTAATCAATGAATACACCGATATCATTAACGGTATTATAATTGAAATAGATTTTTTTTTAAATTCGGGCATAAGGAAGGAAAACCTTGATAATATGAAGAAAATGATTCAACTAGAGAGACATTACGCAGCGTTTCATGAAATCGGTTTCATATTATCTAATCTATTGCATCTATTATACCGTCTTAATCTATAGCAAATATAACACCATTAATGATATTGTTAATCAATGAATACACCGATATCATTAACGGTATTATAATTGAAATAGATTTTTTTTTAAATTCGGGCATAAGGTAGGAAAACCTTGATAATATGAAGAAAATGATTCAACTGGAGAGACATTACGCAGCTTTTCATGAAATCGGTTTCATATTTTCTAATCTATTGCATCTATAATACCGTCTTAATCTATAGCAAATATAACACCATTAATGATATTGTTAATCAATGAATACACCGATATCATTAACGGTATTATAATTGAAATAGAGTTTTTTTAAAATTCTGAAATAAGGTTGAAATCCTTGATAATGCGAAGAAAATGATTCAACTAGAGAGACAATATGCAGCATTTCATCAAATCGGCTTCATATTATCTAATCCATTGCATCTATGATACCGACGTGATCTATTACAACTATAATACCAATAATGATATTGTTAATTTAATCAATGAATACACCGATATCATTAACGGTATCATAATTGAAATAGATTTTTAAAAAATTCTGACATAAGGTAGAAATCCTGGATAATACGAATCAAATGGTTCAACTAGAGAGACAATATGCAACATTTCATCAAATCTGCTTCATATTATCTAATCTATTGCATCTATGATACCGACGTGGTCTATTACAACTATAATATAATGCATGGTATTGTTAATCAATGAATACACCGATATCATTAACGGTATTATAATTTAAATAGATTTTTTTTAAAAATTCAGGCATAAGGTAAAAAAACCTTGATAATATGAAGAAAATGATTCAACTAGAGAGACATTACGCAGAGTTTCATGAAATCGGTTTCATATTTTCTGATGTATTGCATCTATGATACCGATGTGATCTAATACAACTATAATATCATTCATTATATTGTTAATCAGTGAACGCACCGATTAACGATATCATTAACGATATTATAACTGAAATGAATTTTTTAAATTCAGGCTTAAGGTAAAAAAAAAAAAAAACCTTGAGAAAATGAATAAAATGATTGATCTAGCAAGAGAACATAGAACGTTTCATTTAATCAGCTCCTTATTATGATTTGCCGTTTAACAATATTATTAATAATGATGCGAAACGTTTTGTTTTGAGGTTTTTGTTCATTAAGCTTAAAAGCTTTGATCTTTTGGAAGGGTCATTTCTTTTTTTTCGCAAAAATTAGGTTGATTCTTAATAACTCTTTGACTTATTATTTCAAACAAGATGCAGGAAAGGACAAATTGAAGATAAAAGAAAAAAAACCTTAACGAGTTAAAAATAATTCTGTTCATTCAGATGCAAAATGTCTTGATAATTGAGCCCTCAATATGTTAAGCCTAAGGGCTTAACCACGATTGATTGATGAGATTGAAATTAACAATTTTGGATTCTTCTGATGACAATATCTTAAGTGACCTGTTGAATAGTCATCCATTCTTGGAATGTCTTGATCAAATCTAACAAGAAAAGAAGAGAATATTAGAAGGTAACATCATTTGAACTAAATAATTACACACGTGTTTTTAAGCCTGCTGTTTTTTTATTGTCTTTCGCCTTTTTCTTTTTCAGTAATTTACTTTCATGTGATGTATTTTATGTTTCTTATCTTTATAGTTTCTTGCCTTCATCAAGTTATTTATAATTTTATCAGGTAAAAAAAAACTTATTTCCTCAAAACTACGTGAAGGAATGGTTAACCATAATAAATTTCAGAATCCTCAGCTAATGATTAAGCGAGATAGTTTTATTTATGAGATTGTTAAGTGATATTGTCATGCTTATTTAAAAATAAAAGTTAAAAATAAATTAATATAAATACATTAATGATCATCCTCAAGATATATTATCTCAGAAAATAGTGGATATCCAAGAATGTTACGAAAGCGCAAAAGCAGTAATACATGCTGAATACTGCTAAATCTTCTGATTTTGACGAGAGATTTTCATAGTTAAAGTATAATATATATATANTTAGTAGTTCAAACGAATGTACCCCTGTTGAATTACCAACAAAAGGAAGTTTATGATACTTTAATGAAGGCAATCGATAATGAATATGGTGGTTTATATTTCCTAGATGCCCCTGGTGGAACTGGCAAGACATTCCTCATGTCATTAGTTTTAGCAACTGTTCGGGCGAGATCTAACATAGCGGTTGCAGTTGCTTCTTCTGGAATAGCAGCCACATTGTTAGAAGGATGCCGTACGGCTCATTCAGCATTCAAATTACCGTTAAATCTTCAAACTATTGAAGAACCAACGTGTAATATTGCAAAACACTCAGCAATGGCCAAAGTTTTAGCGGTATCGAAAATCATCATCTGGGACGAATGCACAATGGCGCATAAACGTGCATTAGAAGCACTTAACCGAACATTAAAAGATTTACGCAATGACTCGAGATGTTTTGGAGGAGCAATGATTTTACTTTCTGGCGATTTCCGCCAAATACTGCCAGTAATTCCAAGATCTACGGCTGCCGACGAAATAAACGCTTGCCTCAAATCGTCAAATCTATGGCGCCATGTGAAGAAACTGCAACTGACAACAAACATGAGAGTTACATTGCTTAATGATACATCTGCTGAAGATTTCTCGGAGCAATTGCTGACTATCGGTAATGGTCAAGTACCTGTCGATGAATCGAGCGGATTAATATCATTTCCAAATAATTTCTGTAATTTTGTCTCATCAAAAGACGAACTTATCAACAATGTATTTCCAGAAATTATTTCTAACTACAAAAATTATGAATGGATAAGTGAGCGAGCAATTTTAGCGGCTAAGAATAAAGATGTAGATGACCTAAACTACATAATTCAAAATAAGATCATTGGAACAATGCATTCATTCAAATCTATTGACTGCGTCACAAATGAAGATGAAGCCACCAACTATCCAATTGAATTTTTAAACTCTTTGGACGTGCCTGGCTTACCACCGCACAATTTACGCCTAAAGGTTGGCTCCGTAGTAATCATGCTTCGAAACATAAACCAACCAAAACTGTGCAACGGTACGCGTTTGGTGGTTAGAAAATTGATGAACAATGTAATTTACGCTACGATAATGATAGGAAAATTCAAAGGTGAGGAAGTTCTCATTCCGAGGATACCGATGATCCCAACCGATATGCCGTTTGAATTTAAAAGACTTCAATTTCCGATACGTCTTGCATTTGCCATGACCATCAACAAATCACAAGGCCAATCCTTAAAAGTTTGTGGTTTAAATCTAGAACATTCATGTTTTTCCCATGGTCAATTATACGTGGCATGTTCACGGGTCGGAAGACCATCTGCGTTGTTTGTTTTTGCGCCTGATAATAAAACAAAAAATGTCGTGTATCACAAGGTACTTAAATGAAGAGCAACCTATGTACTAAAATACAGAAATAATTATGAATGATTGATGTAGAAATTTAATTTTTTTTGTATTTTTTCCAATAAAAAAAAAATCTGCTTATTTATTGACATTAAGGCGGAACAAAGTTCGCCGGGTCAGCTAGTATATATATATATATATATATATATATTTTAAAAAGAATATTAAGAGTTTTTTGGGAAGTTAAAATAGTTCTAGCTTAGAATTGTAAATTCAATTGTTCAATTGTTACTTTGCTATCACTATAAAGAAGCTTAATCAGTAAAAATGTAATAAACGGCAACAATGGCAAATATTTCTAACTCGAAGTCATCTTTAGACTTAAAATGCAAGCGCACTGTCTATCTAATGGCAATTGGGCCAATTCTAACTGCGCCGCCATTAACACTCTAAGTGATCATTTAAAAAATAAACTCTCTATGGCAGAAGGGTAAGAAGACTCGTCGGCGCCCCTAAATGCATTAGCAATAATAGTATAAAAAGGGACCTTAAAATTGATGACATCAACGTCTATATAAAAAATTTAAACCAAAATTTCTACGATGAAGCAAAAACCAGTACCACCAGCAATTTTAACTCACTCCTAGATATTGAATTAATTGACGACAACACTAAATTTAGCCCAATCACTGCATTTTTTCTTAAGGATATGATGTTGCCCTAGCACACGAAATACACTCTCGATTTTTGGTGCTAAGCAACCCCTCTTCCCCCCATCTCCATTCCACCTCACTATTCCTCATCATCGATTTATTACTACAGATGAATCGGTTAATGCCGCTTCGCGGCAGAGCACCGAGATTTATATGATTTCTACCATTCTACCAAATATTTCTATTGGTAGTGAAGTTTATGTTTTTGGGTTGCGTAAATATGATTGAGAAGTATTTTGTACAGTATAATGCAAAAACAATCAATAAACGTTTATTCTCACACTTAACAATTTATGGTAATTTGACTTTTTAGGTTGAACATGGTAAAATAACAATAAAATAAATTGACATTTAACAATTTTTACTGGGAAATTTCTAACGATGCTGTGGCACCTTTACAGCGAATTGGTAATATTTTTAAAATTATTAGGAGCATGTGGGAGCTTTAAATGAAAGCCTAATTACATCATCATCCCCAGCTCTATCTAATACTTCGAGAATTTCAAACTGGACCATCGGACATTGGTCAATTAAGAATGAATTAGATTATTATTTAATTATAGATTTAATTAAACCTGACATGTTCTTAATAAATGAAATACAACGGCATTTTTTCGTAGAACTCGAAAAAGTTGCAAATTATTAACCTGGCTATAGTTTTCATAATTGGGTCATTAGCTTGCTCATTATCAACAGTCTACCTCATTGTACCCAACTAGCAATGCAATATGCCTGTGATTTAGGTTCAAATTAAGTATAAGTTCGGCAATATATATCATAAGCAAAAAAAATCTTTAATTATGTGATATTGACAGCACATTATCTATAGTATATAACAGGGGTGGCCAAGCTCCTTGGTAGTCGAGCCATTTTTCAAATTTAAAATTTTCCGAGAGCCGCAATTAAATAAGTATTCAAAAGGTATGCAAAAAAGGTCTTAACTCATTTTTTTTACATAAATTATATTTATAGAGAACATATAAGCAAAAGTACAAAATATGTGTACTGAATTCAAATATTAGAAATTAAACATATTTATTTTACTTGATAATTCTTTAAAATTTGGTGAATAATTGGCGACAGCACTTCTCAGTAATTCTTTCAGATGCCAGTTAGTTAATACTGATCGGTTTTTGGATTTCACGAATTTTAAAGTGGAATAAAATGATTCACATAAGTACGCTGCTCCGAATATTGAAATAATTCTACAATCAGCCTTTTTGAATTCAGGATACTTCGATTCTGTTTCAAATTTCCAAAATTCAGTAATCGACGTCGACTTATATTTTAATTGTAAAGCTTGATCTTCTTGCATCTCTATTAATTCAAATTCTCCAGATGCTTTTTGTGTCATAATTATATTGGAAATGGAAAACTTACCTTGAATTGAACAACGTTGCTCTTAGTCTTTCATATTTGTTCTCAGTAATTTAAAAGACATTTTGAAATACATACGGAGCGATAATAACCTTCTAAAATATAATGCCACAAAAATTGAAAGGAAACTCGGGTACATTTATCGAGAGCCACAAATGATCCATCAAAGAGACGCATGTGGCTCGCGAGCCGCAGGTTGGTCATCTCTGGTATATAATATTAACTCCAACTGACCGAACTTTGTTTTTCTATGCACTCTGATGAAAGAGAAATACAAATAAAAAGTCTTATTTTATTTATATTAATAGAAAGATAATAAGAAAAGTTATTTTTTGTTAAGGTTTAAATTGCATACAATTTGGTAGGTATACTAAAAAATTTGGTGTAAAATAGGAGCTACAATTTTTGGTGTTGAGGTAAATGAAATTTTTTTCTATGCTTGTAGTCACATTATTTTTAAACTTTATCACTAATATATGCTTTTAAAATTTATTTATTCATTTTTTGTAAGTTTGTTAGCTGACAACACATGTCTTCTCCCGCATTAGAGTCTAGAGGTGAAAGCGAAGCGAACAAGAGGAAATGCTGGTAGCAAAACCATTTAATTATAGATAGTTTTCGGGTGGAGTAGATCTACTTTTTTTTTTAATTTATACCTACGTAATATAGAAATCTAAATATCAGCCCCACCAGGGACTCTAACTTATTCGTCTGCGTGAGTGTAACATACAAAAAACTGAGGCTCAATTGAATGTGGTAAGAGTAGGTATCAGTTATGTTATGACAATACTAAAAATGCAAATAAACGAGAGAGGGGTTTTAGCCCCGAATTTCAGGGGTGCACAGCAAGCAGCTTCGCCCCAATGAGAATACTATCCCTCTTTTTTTCGTTCGTTGTAGTGGAACTGAGAGTTAGAGGTCTTGCGGTCCTTTTCCCATTCATCCTGAAATCAGATTGAGAAACATAGATGACGAAAATAAAGTTTGGGGTGCAAAATGGAGTTCGTGAGAGACAAAAAATGGCATTTTGCTATTATTAGGTAATAACAAAATTGCAAGCAATAAAAAGGTGCTTGAAAAAGGCAAAATTAAAGTATTCGAACAATTTCGATTTGTATAAAAAATAATTTCAAAAACAATTTAGATTTTTTAAACTTAAATTGACAGCTAAGTTTTAGGATTTAATTTTTCATTTATACATATTCGTGCTATAGTAATTTTTGAAGTAAGTAATGAAATTATATGAATCAGATAAATTGAATACTCATAACTATTCATTGTTTAACTATTTTTAATAAATCTATAATTTGTTTCAGCCCTAATAATTTGATTTCAATAAAACAGGAGACAATTTTTATTTTTCAAAAAGCTTTGCAAAAATGAAATTGATATCAAGCTTTAGAATTCTGTTAAGCAAGACTTTTCGAACTAGTAATACGCGTTCAATTGTTTAATAAATTAAGAAATTTTACTTAAATTTCCCAATTCCTATTTATTTTGAAAATTTTATTTTAAAAAATGTGACGAAAATTTCCAATGCTTTTTGCTATAGCTAGCTATTACTTAATTACAGTGATTTAGTTTAATTACATTATTTAGTTAATTAAATTACATTAATTTAGTTTGGATACTTGTGTAATTAATAGCAATTAAAAGTTAAAAGTTATTTTGTTTGAATTTTTTAAACACTGAAAATGAATTTAATTTATGAATCAAGAATACAATTTTCTATTTTTCTATCTTACTTTCAAGAAATATGTTTATTTATTTAATTTTTCATTAGAAAATGTACGTTTTTATGAATGAAATTATACAATTTTGAGAGATTTTCAGTTTTATCTAAACGAGTTTTCTTGCCACAAAATAAATTCAAAATTAGTATCAAGGATATATGAATGGAATTTCATAAGCAAATTAAATATTCATACTAATGATCAAATGCATTTTTTTTATTTATATATTTGGTAAGGAATCGATTAGGATACTATTTTACGTTTATTTATTTTTGTTGTTATTACATACGTTAGTAAAGTATGTTGTTATTAATGGAAACTATTAATGAACAGGTTTTAATCACTTTTGTAACAAGCTCTTAAACTATCACTAATGTAAACGAGGTCAATCATTTTAACCTATAATTATGCATATTTAATTAAAATTGTAACAAATTACTTGCTTTTTTTATTTTTATAACATTTTTGGAATATAAATCATGTCTGTGACGCTTGTTGTAGAAGACAATTTCAATTTCGAATGGTATTAGATGAGGGTAATGGGCAGGTATTATGACTGTGGTCTTTTTAACAGTCTCTATTGCTGAATTATTTATGGATTCCCAAATGTTTATTGATTGATGTATTTACAGCTTTCTTTAATGTATATGAGAAATATATTGTCAAAATATTAAGTATTAACTGTTTTAAGTGCTATCAAATTTAAAGGAATCAGCTTAAAATATAATCAGTAAAATAAGAAAGCATAAGTTCCTCTTTCGTGTAACTATAATTTAGCTATTTGAATCAACAAAAATATAGTTCTATGCTTACAAAAATGTAGTTCAATTTATATAGACAGCATCTATAACCCAATAGATTTTAAAAAGTTTTTTTTGATTTCGTAGGTTACTCTTAGTAAGCGATTACATTTCTAAATCTACCATTATATTGGGAAGAGAAAATTACAAATGGTTGTAAATGAATGTGTCATAATGTATGCCATATTTCATGAAATGTGGCATATTTATATGCCATAATTTCAAGCAAAGATTAATTAAAACCCATTAAATACCAAATCTCCCATTTTGTGACTATTTTCCTTTTTTTCAAAGGAAGGAATAGTACCAGGAATATTTAATTTTTAAAAATTATTCTGAATAAACAATAAATTCGAGTTTAGCATATTTGTATTGATAATCAAAATAGGGTTTTAAAATTTAAAATGATGTGATTAAAATTTTTTTTAAAGCTAAACTGGCAGCTAACACTGCAAATTATCTCCTTAATTTAAGCGCAATCATTTAGTCACTTTTTATA